GGGATGCCCCGGCTGGAAGCGAAGCCCCTGCAAACTTCCGCAGAAATGCACCGAGTAGCGTCAGGAGTCGATCTCCGGACCGCCGGCTGCGTTCCTGTCGCGGGACGGCGCTCAGATGGCTGCGCCCACCGCCGGGGGTCTGGGGGACGGACCACGACCCAGTGGTGCCAGCGCCCCAGAGGGTTGGCAAAGACACCCCCCGCACTTTGGGGCAGCTGCGCAGGTTTCTGTGGGTCCGGCTGCCCACCACCGTCTCCCGAGACAAGGACAGCTACCGAACCAGCGCTGGGCAGAGCGCAGAGCGGCAGCAATCACCCCGGGCAGCTTCTGAGTTCCCATTAGCGATGTCTGGGCAGGCGCAGGTTCCACATTCCCACTCCAGCCCTTCGTTCTACCCCACGCTCCCGAGACTTGCCAGGTCTGGTCCCAGGGACTCGCCCGGGCCATCCAGGGCCATCTCGGGGAGTCTTGCAGCGGTGGGGAGTCCTGTCCCGGGACCGAGATGAGATCCACCGCGTAAGCGCTGAGATGGGGCCAGAGGAGGCTTCTCCTTTGCTAGAAAGTCATTCTTTCAGCCTCTGGAGACAGTGACTGAGCCTTGCTTCCGGCCAGGCGCTGCACCCGACCTTGGGGACTCCCGCTCTCCAGGCAGCTGGGAAGCTTGGGAAGAAAGGAGTAATAGAGCCACAAAACTCCCTCCAAAGAGCATTTCATATGGAGATGCGCCATAAACACACAAAAACAGAGCAAGGTAGCAGAGGGTGGCTGTGGCCCTGCGCGGGAGTGAGTGTGCAGCCCCAGCTGGGGGCTCGCGGGACTCGAACACTTCGACCCTCAGAAAAGAGCAACGGTGAAGAGACAGGTCAACTTTATACTTATCTTATTGTAATAAAAGAGCTTTTCCTCTATCTCAAACCACCCGTGGGGGTAAAAAGGGTTTGCCAACCTTTCCTCGGCCTCCCCCACCTCAATCAGTTCAGAGTTTTTTCGAAGCTCCTTCTACGGCCCAGGGACTGGACCCCAGATGTAACGTCTGGGGACCTCGCCACCTCCCTCTTGAGGGGGCGAGGACCCCAGCAGAGATCGCCCCCTCAAGCCCGGGAAGACTGTACGCCCCGCGGAGCCTGGAGGGGCGGGGCTTCAAGGCGGGCTCTGCTCGTGGGGGCGGGGCCATGCCGCTCCGTCTGCGCCACCATTGGCCACAGACCCCGGACTGGCGGGCGCACGTCATGGGCCGGGCCCACCCCCTTGGCAATGTCTTCAGCCTGCTGCACTCCTAACTTAAGCATTTATTCCACTGGGATAGAAGCGGCAGGAGCAGCGTTGGCACCGGCGAACCATGGCTGGGATTTTCTATTTTGTCCTCTTTTCGTTTCTCTTTGGGATTTGCAACGCTGTCACCGGTTCCAGGGTGTACCCCGCGAATGAAGGTAAGAGCGGGGTGGCCTTTCTGTGGTTGGGGACCGAGAGGGAAAGATCCGCGGGTGAATGTTCCTCGTGAGCGCACGGATGGCGGGTGTGGGGGGATCTCCGCGTGAGCGGTGCATCCCGACTCTGGAAAAAGGGGGCCGGGTCGAGGAGATCCGCGAAGGGGCTGCGGGGAGCAGCTGAGCAGCCCGGCCTGTGGCGGTGACCCGTGCTTGCGGCGAGGCTGCCTAAGTTTGTAGCAAAAGGACAAAGTTTATCTGCATCCACCGGCGAGGCCACTCGAGGCGCCCCGAGGGAATATACGGGAGCCCACGCCAGAATTAAAATAATAATTCTGTGGCCCTAATTCTCGCTTCCACCACTCCATCCAGCCTCGGTCGAAGGGGAAACCGACGCCTGGAGCGCGGCGAGGGCTTGGTGTTCCCGGGTTCTTATGAAAGCCTTGCGAGCTCTGCTTTCTGCAAAGTTTCACGAACCCAGCGCTTCCCGCACCCGGCTGCAGCCGTCGAGGTGCGGGTCGCTGCTCGCCGGTGACCTGATTTCTAGCATCTGGCGTCAGACATCATTTCCCCCCGCTGGGGTCTGCGCCCCGGGGGTGCGATCGCTGTTTTAAGGGGCCCACGCTCCTCAGATCATTCCGCAGACCTGCGGAATTCGCCCTCGAGTTGAATATACTCGAGTTTTTGCATTTTGCCCCAGAAGTGTACACGGGTTAGTTCGGAAGGAATGTGCGGGACCGACCGGACGCGTCTGGGTGCGCGGTGGACTGCGCCTCTATTCGGACGTGCTGGAAGGATTGTGTGTGTGTGTGTGTGTGTGTGTGTGTGTGTGTGTGTGTGTGTGTGTGTGTCGGGAGGTGGGGGTTGATCATTTAGTTACTGATGATCTCAGGGAAAGACGAGTTGAGTGTGTGTGTGTGTGTGTGCGCGCGCGCGCAAATGCGTCTGTGTGGTGCGTGGGTGCCCGTGTGGACGCGGACGATTGCGTGTCTGTGTGCGAGTGCCCTACTTGTGTGCGCGTGTGTTCCTGCGAATGCTCGTGCTCGAGCCTGCGTGCATCTAGCCTTGCATCTCACCGACTCCTTCACCCCTCCCCACTCTCCCATCCATCCATCCATTCATCCATCCATCCATCCATCCATCCATCTATTCATTCGTCCATCAATACTTCAGTTGACTTGCATTCTAATCCAGGATCCGTCCATCTATCCCTGTGCAATCTATCATTTTCCCTTTTCCGAAGGAGGGAGCCAAAATCCAACTTAGCCCTGGCTGCGCGGCGGGTACCCAGAGCTCGCCAGGCGGAGGCTCGGAGAGAGTCACACACCTGCCGGCAGACGCTGCTTGAGAGCAAAGGGGCGCTAGCTCACCGTCCGTATATCCTCCCTCCTTCCGACGTGGCTCCAGGAGCCTTCTCTGCGCTGCCGCCCCTCGATCCGCAGGATCATTTCTCTTAGCCTCATCGCCGCTCCCGCGTTCTCCCGACTACTTCTCACACTTGTTAGGACGTCCCCCGAGACCTCACCGCACCAGGCCCAGAGATTTTCTTTTTACCCCTTTCTTGCCTTTTATTTTGGAACCAAAACTTGGGAGCCCTACACACAAAAAAAGCGCTGATGGAGCTCTAGGCTGATGCAGAAAGAAGGGGGGGATGAGTCACCCCCCCCTTTGGACCCCTCCTCTCCCTTGAAAATTAATTCATTTTGTTGCTTTTTATTCCCATCACGTTTCCTTTTCTCCTTTTTACCCTCCCATTCTACTCCCTCCCTTTTTTTGTAAATTGGGTCTTATTGTTCCCTTTGTGTCCCTAATCCACCTTACATAAATCCAAATGGTTGCAGCGGGCTTTTCTCTAGGGACCGAGAAGAGAGAACGAGGCCGGGGGTGGGGCGCAACTCCGGGCGGGAGCGGCCCGGAGAAGGCTCTACATTTTAAAATAATTAACAGACCCCAGGAATTCAGGCTTCTCGGGAAAACCAGGAGAAAGAGGCTGATTTTAACTCCTTTGACTTCGGGGTGAAATGAGAGGGGGAAATGAGCAGAATTCAGGGGTCTGGGGGCGAGATTGAGAGTCGGCGTGGGCAGGAGCAAAGATGAAGACTGCCCATTCCCACCCCTCCCCCAGCCTGAAGAGCCGGGCTTCGCTGATCAAATTAATAACCCAGTGGTTCCTTTGAGATGGGCCTTTCGACCTCCAGGCCTGCAGATCTCGGTGGGAAAGGGAACTTGGAGAGGTTGGCAATTTACTGCGTGCTTTTAAATGTCCTAGGTGCCTAGGACTGTTCCCGCCTGGGTGGGGGACAGCCTTTCGGTAGCCGCCCTCCTGGTTCCCTAAGCTTTGACGCGCACTTTTTACGTGTAGCACAAGCATGCTAAGTATATTAGGCAGCACTCCAGACCTAAAACTCAAACCAGTGGTTTCCTCTTGGGTGGAAGAGGAATCTCCGACTGTCCTCAAACAGACCTGGGAAAGAGAATACTTCAGTTGACTTGCATTCTAATTCTACACGTCTGCCATTCCCCCTTCTGAAACTTTGATATTTAAAAAAAGCAGCGGATACCACATCCAGGGCCGATTTATTTGGTGGAGGAGGCAGAAAAATGGTAGGAGAGAGAGCCTTTTCGTGACCCTTTGAGTACTCTCAGATAGAATTCACTTGTGGCTCTGTCACCATGATGATGAGTTATGTGGTCATCTGAAACTTACAAAAACAAATAACTCCAGTCGATACGGGACAGAGATGAATGCAGATTTTGCTCTGGAGTGCAACTGCCCTACCTAGATATATTTATTTTTTTGAATTGTACTTGAGATTCTCTATTCATCCTTTTAAGAAAATGAATCAACTGAGTCTTGGAATGGAATTTTAAATGCTAAGCAAGTAAAATAAATAAGAACTTGCAGATTTAAGGAGGGGAGAAGATCAAGTGAGTAATGATTATTTACATAAGTGAGACTAAGTTTAGGTTTTGATCAGAGTTGGATATGCACACCCTCAGCACATATGGAAACGCTCAGGCAAATGGTTTTCGTAGTATTGGCTTTTTGCAATTGGAAATTAATCTATTTTTCTTTCTCTCTCTCTCTCTCTTTTTTTTTTTCTTTTTTTTTGCAGTTACCTTATTGGATTCCAAATCCGTTCAGGGAGAACTTGGGTGGATAGCGAGCCCTCTGGAGGGAGGGGTAAGTTCCGAGTCTCTCTCTGCTCGAAAGGGTAAAATGGAGTGATTAGCAACTTTCTGAGAGTCCTAATGGCTTGATTCTTGTTGATTGTGGTGAGGGGGTCAGATTACCGCCATGGCCTATGAAGTGAATTACGCTTTGTTGCAGAAATCCTATCCTCCCCTTGGACAAGTCTGTCATGGAAGACGTAGAAACCAAAAGGGCTGAAAGCGTTTTCAAAGTCAGAAGACTGGTGGTAGAGGTGTAGCCTTAGATGCCTATTTTAAACTAAAATACTGACAAGAAATGCACTCTGGGGACCAAATTAGAATTTATGCCTATTACTGTGATGGCCATGAAGTCCTGACAGGGTTAACGTTAGAGCAATATTTTGTTGCCAGATGAAGAAAATGAATCAATAAGGATACCGGGCAGAAAACACTTCTAACGGTACCCAGCATAGATATAGTTTTGTGCACAAGCTCCTTACCTTGCTATCACAGTGACCTTAAATCAGCTGCTATTCTCTTGCACACTCACAGAGAGCTTTATGAACTTGTGCCAGGGGCACAATATATGCAGAAAACACCACAAGCTTGAGTATTGTTGGTGCTAGATGTGAAACATTTAAGTATTTGGACTCGGATCTTGGGGCATGGGAGTCTGGGTTATAAAGTATTAGAGAGTGCATCACTGTTCATTACTTCTCAAATTCGCCATCACTGTCTCCAGTGGAAGATTCAGAGAATAGAATTAGGTCAATGACCACATTCTCCTACTCCCCCCTCCCACCCCCCGCTACCCTCCTTGTAACAGGTCAGAATGAATCAGCTTTGGAAAGAAATCAGTACAGTACGTATCTCTGGCTTCTGCCAAATTGAAATAACTCTCAAAGCCTTTAAAAATGAAGCATATCATCCTACTTTTACATGCTTGATAGTCTATGACTGAGTCAAGTGATTAAAAACAATAAGGATGAAAGAAAGATTAGGAGTCTTTACCAGGCAAAAATTGTTGTTGCCAGCATTTGTATGGTGCTTAACCTGTCCTTTGAGTAAGCAATAAAAGATTAAAAAAATATGTAAAGATTCATAAAACTGTTGTAGAAGACAGGTTTCAAAAATAAGACAAGGCAGGAAACAGTCATGAAAATGGAGACTTTTAAGCTGTGTTTTTCCAAAGCGGATCTTGTAATCCATTTGAAATAAAACGGAGATTTCCCTGCCTTCCTGGTTTTCTGCCTGAACTTGACTGCAGTTGGTTGGGTCTCTGCTGAAAAAATTCCAGTCTGCCCTCAAAACCATTTTTTTTAAAGGAAGGGAGAATGATTGGCAGGCCTCTGGCAGTGTAGACAGGCTGTATTCACTGCTGATTGCAGGCAATTGCCCTCATCCTTTGAATGCGAAGAAAGGTACAGCTTTATCTTGTGAGAGTCAGACTCTTGTTAATCCTATACCCTGGAAAGGTCACTGATTCAGGAAGCCTTTCCCATGCTACACCAGGGCTATTGCTCTGTAGGTTGAATGTATTAGAACTGTCTGCAAAATTGAGGATGAAAGGTGTCAGTACTTGCATTAAAATTTTTAATGAGCCTTATTTTTCTTACTGGCTGCTCTCAAGTTTGAAGAGAGAATGCATCAGATAGGATTCTGGATCTGACTTGTTATATTCAGTATACATGGACCTGTTTAAAAGCAAGGGGTGATACAGTTTTGAGTACAGTCTATGGTCCATCTAGTTTCTGAAAAGCTTTTATTGCAATTTAATATGCTGCGGACTTACCCCGCCCCCACCCAACCCCTTCTCCAAACTGCTGAAAAAGCACCTGGTCACGTTTTCTAGCCACAAAACTTCTCTCGGTTGTCTCAAAATCTCTTAAAAAAAAAAAAATACTATGCATACTGATTGTTGTATACAACCCAGAACTTTTTATGGACTGAGTGTAGTCAGTTTTATTCTATCCTTAAATATGATGTGTGTAACATTTTAAGTATTATTATAAAGGGTTAGAAATAAAATTTTATTTGTGCATAAGAGAAATAATTGTTCCAAACTATATAGTAGCCATTGGGAAATTGTGTGCCAAATTATAAAGTTTAATTCATCTCCAGATTTTGCAATCGAAGAGGACTTTTTCAGGCTTAGAGTGACAGATGAATTCGACATCTACCAAGTAGAGATGGATTAGCTTTCCAAAGTTCTTTCTAGCTGAGGGGAAGAGCATATTTGAGTTTTTGGATTATTCTGAAATCTCTACTTATTGTTAGAACAGACTACATCTTTCTTGGCTGGAAATTTGGGATTAGAGATTTGTCCAATAATGACATTTATTTGTTGTTATTATTTTTTTAAAAAAGAGAAAGAAACCTTATTTGACAATACCACCAAGTAAAAAAATTCGTGTGCGAATATATATATATATAGTCAAAGGCAATGCTGCTCTCTTGTTTTTCTATCAGAACAACTAAGTATAACATGAGAATAATGGAAAATGATGGTTCCTGATGGCAACATTGTAGCAAAAACCTAATTTCTTGGCAGTGTTCATTTAAAGGAGGATATTGAGTTTCTGACATTGTTTGTATAACACAAAACTAAGGGGAGATTTGTCATTGTTCTGGTGAATTGATCAGTGTGTTTAGACAATCAAGTTCAGCCTGGAAAATTCACATTAAACCTGAATTTCCCTGTATGAACTCTGTGGAGATATCCCTATGTGCTTTCATTTACATTGATAAATGTGTTTTTCCATATTCCTTTTGTTCCGAGATGAGAAGCATGCTGAGTAGTTTTTTTCAAGGTGGTGATCTATTTTGAGATTTACATGAATTTCCCCAAATAAGTAAATTATCGGTGATTTATTACTTAGTGGATAAAAAGAAATTTTAATCACCACAGGGTACTTATCCCTCCCAGTTCCAACTTTCATAATGGTAGCAGATGAAAGGGACACAGAAATTTATGCATTATGGCCCTTCACATAGTAACATTTCCATCCATTAATAGTTTTCCAATGCACAGAAGGAAAACCTGTTAAAAGATACATTATGACTCTATGTACTTCATTTTATTGAATGGAGCTTTAAGTGGAACTACTATAGAATACAATTTTTTTAACTGTCTTTTTTCTTCTAATTATATTCACATGTTAGATACATAAGGTGATTTATACCAAATCTATATAAATGCACTATTGTAGATATCAATGCCACCTATCACCCTTGCAGTAGCCCCCAAACAATCTTGCTGCTTTTAGGATTGTTTTTAAAAGCTATGGCGAGAGTGAAATTGTTACTCTAGTCACAGTGAATTCAGATGGTCTCACCCCTGGAATCTTTATATTAGGAAGTAGATTACAAAGAAAACTAGCACCCTTCTTTAATTTTCTTGAGCTTTCAATGGTAAATACTACTTACTATTTTTTTCAGTATCCTCAGGATATTTAGAAGCAAAGCATGTATGTATTCTTGTTTAATTATGTGTCTATCTTTTAAAAGTAGGAACAATATACTAACACTTAATTGAATACACGCTTCTGAAAAGTGTTCTGGCATTATAAATGGCCATGCGTTTGAGAAATCAGACCAGAAAGTTTACTCTCTGTCTTCCCAGGATTACAAAAACTAGAATAGTGAGATTTTCTTTTCCCCTATAGAGTAGTGACAGTGCCAAAAAAAAAAAAAAAAAATCGACTGACATTTTTTTAGGTATTAGAGAGCAAAGTTCTGACAGGAGCACCACTAATTAACTGATAATTGTCTTCCTTTGGCAAGCTCTGCTCTTCCTGCTCTTAATTTGCAGGTCTCTGCTCTGTTGTTGAAACAATATGCATACTAGTTTTTCATTTATGAGTAAATTTGAACTGTTGCCACTTGAAACTGTAGCTGTTGTAATAGGTGAATTTGAGGTTATTAGACCACCACAAGAAACTGCTGAGAACCCATAAGCAATAAATCCACCATTGCCTCTGGATTTAAGGCAAAAGAATGAAACAATTAAAAAAACACTTCCCCAATAAAATACCGTTTTATCTCCTTAAGATGCTTTCTTAGTGAGGATTGGTGCTCAGCAGTTTTCTTGTTGGAACAAAAATCACCATTTCTTATGGGAGTAAAGTAGGATTGACAGATAGCTGCATGATGAAATTTTGTAATTGATACATTTCCTTTGGCTCTCTGCAGTGGGAGGAAGTGAGTATTATGGATGAAAAAAATACACCCATCCGAACCTACCAAGTGTGCAACGTGATGGAACCCAGCCAGAATAACTGGCTCCGAACTGATTGGATCACGCGAGAAGGGGCTCAGAGGGTGTACATTGAGATCAAGTTCACCTTGAGGGACTGCAATAGTCTTCCGGGTGTCATGGGGACTTGCAAGGAGACGTTTAACCTCTACTACTATGAATCAGACAACGACAAAGAGCGTTTTATCCGAGAGAGCCAGTTTGCCAAGATCGACACCATTGCCGCCGACGAGAGCTTCACCCAGGTGGACATTGGCGACAGAATCATGAAGCTAAACACTGAGATCAGAGATGTGGGGCCATTGAGCAAGAAGGGGTTTTATCTGGCTTTTCAGGATGTGGGCGCCTGCATTGCCCTGGTATCGGTCCGCGTGTTCTACAAGAAGTGTCCGCTCACAGTTCGCAATCTGGCCCAGTTTCCAGACACCATCACAGGGGCTGATACGTCTTCACTGGTGGAAGTGCGAGGCTCCTGTGTCAACAACTCAGAAGAGAAGGATGTGCCAAAAATGTACTGTGGGGCAGATGGCGAGTGGCTGGTACCCATTGGCAACTGCCTATGCAATGCTGGGCATGAAGAGCGGAACGGAGAATGCCAAGGTAAGACGAGCCATATTGTACTTTTCGTTGGGGCTTAGTGCACGTAATTAAATCAGAGATGAGACTAAATGGAGTAAAGCCAGTAATTAGCAGCCCCTGTGGGATGTGGTGGGACAGAGGCGTCTAATGAGTAAGTGCTATAGCTCCAGGTGGCAAGGCTAAGATGGTTCAAACGCTGACAAAATAAATGACGCTGCTGTAATCAGCAGAAGGCCAAACACACTTGCTAACCGGCTCTTAGACCTGAACTGGCTTGATGTGCCCTCTGAAATGTGAATGAACGAGCTGAAGAACGGGAGTGATTGATCCATACTTAAAGAGAGTGGACTCCTTTTCGAACCCTGGTAAATGGCAAACGTCTCATCGCGTGTATATGTATATGAACAATTTACATGTGAAATTAGGATTGCTTTGTTCCCACTCCTTTGAGCCTTATGAAGAAAGTCTAGTTTTCCCTGCTTGTGGAGCAGTGTAGACAAGGCTCAACAGAGTGTTTTAAGCGCATCGGTTCCACTGAGCACCCATTGATAAGGGGCCCTAAGTGAAATCCATCTTGAGGAAAGACTTCTTTATTTCCCCAAGGAGGTGATAAAGAGCTAGTAAGAGTCTTCTATTTGATCTGTCTGTGGGCAGAGGCAATATTAAATTGTGATCCATTTTGGTTATTGAGGTGTTGAAGAAATCTAGGTGTTTTTATCATGTTGATTTGTATGTATCATATTACTAAAGTGATTCCTTTTTCTCACCTAAAGTTTGGTGTATGCAATTCCTTCTTCCTTTATGTCCCCTTTCTGTTGGAATACTGGGAAGTTTGAAAGTTTTTTTCTTATAGCAACTTTATTTCTGAGTAAGAGATGAGAGAAATTTATCTGTATATGGATAGCTCACATCATATGTGGAGTAAGGCTTAAAAAAATCAGTTATCCGAGGCTTTTTAAATTTTTGCTTGGCATTTATTTTTAGTGGTTATCGATAGCCTGCTGCTGCCAATCTTATTATGGTCACTACTAAACTCTGGAACTCTGGTCCCATCTATGGAATAGATCAGATTAATCTTTTTCTCAGGGTAATTGTTGAGCTGTAGACGGAGTTGCCCATGGTTCATCTGATTTGGTGATTAAAGACCCTGAAATAGCTGACTGCCAAACAATTTGTCTGGCATTTCAACTATCTTAATGACAGGCTGGCATTAACTATGGGGCAATCCACTTTACTAACTGGAAATCAACAGTTATAACCTAAAAAAAAAAATTGGCATTTTTGGTAATTTGCTTTCATAAAGTTATGCGTTTCTCCTTTCATAGTTTATACTTTCCTCAAGTGTCTTTCCTGATTTGCTTTAGTTATTTCTAGGAGTAGCTAACAATGAATGTCTTTTTATTTAATTGTAAATAAAGCAGAATAAGGGCTGCCTGCCTTTTTCATTGTCATAAAATAATAAGGTAAATTTGTAAACTTAAAAATTTAAAAGTTAGAATTCAAAGGATGTTTTTACCATTTAGTTTCTGTTGGCTTAGCAACTACTAGATAAACTGTATCAAATTGAAACCCTGAAGTATGTTCTGGTATTACTATAATAAAGTACACTGTTATTGGCACCTGAATTAGAATAATCATAGAAGGAATAGTGAAATGAACAGGGCAGTGACAACATATCACACTTTAGAATAAATTATTCTGCCTGTTCATTTTTTGTAAGATAGGACTTACACATCTCTACATGTCAAGGTTTATATATATATATGTATATATTAAACATCATTGTCTTCCATTTTCTGCTCAAATGTTCACATGTCTGGCATTACTACATCTCTCTATCCAATGTCATTGATTTTCAATTGTCACAGAGCCCGGTAACTCATACATTGCTACAGTGAGAAACTCCTGACAGTTTTACAACCTAAATTAGAAGGAAAAGAGAAAAAGATGGAGGGAGGAGTGAATGTAAAGGCAATTGAACATGTTAGTGGTTTGCTTTATGGAAATAATCTTGGGAACCTAGTCAATCATGTGGTTCATGGAAGGGGAGGAGCTCAATGTTTTAGGTCCAGTCCATTTCTAAGCAAACTGTTTCCAACTCAAGGTCGGATGTTTAACAGATTGAGAAGGTCGGTTGAGCTACTTTTAAGAATCTTTGGCGTTTCCTCACATGCTATGCAGTTGCTACTCACAGAACGATTAACTCTTTCAATAAGATACTTTTTGCACAAAACCTTGCACTTTGCTTGCTTGTTTGTTTTTAATACTACCAAGTAAGAGTCTCTCACGAATTTAGGAAGGAAGGAATAACTACAATGACAAAAGATTCTTAAATTCCAAACTTGAGTGAAACTTTAAAAGATGACTCAAGATTGTAGAAACTATAGGAGTAATAGCAATGGTTGTCTCCATCCTTGACATCATTAGCGGGTATCAGAGAAGCATCCAATTGAAACAGAAAGAACATCAAGACAAGGAAATGTGTCTCAACTTGGTCACTTAGCTGAATGACCCTGAACATGTTTATGAAGCCCTCTGAGTCTTGGTTTGTTCATCTATAAAATGGGTTAATAATAATTGTATTTGGCTTACATACTTGCTATGAGGACACGGTGGTGTACGATGAGTAGATTATACAGCACAAAACCAATGTTAATGCTAGTTTTTTGTTTTTTTTTTTTAAATCCTCTGCTCTTCCCAAGGATATGGCTGATGACTTTTCTTCTGATGACTTTTAAAAGTGTTGGGTTGAAGTAGTAAAAGGGAACTCATCTCTCAGCCCCGCTTGGAAGTCAAGGTTAAACATAGGAAACATTGCCTTGCCCTAAAAAAGAATAATGTTGTTTTCCCAGTTCATATTGCAAATTGTATTTGGAGAGCGTCATTTTTTTTCCTCCCCTGTAGGAAAGAGAACTTTGAGTGAGAGAAAAGTAATTTGGGGGTGGGACAAAAAAAAACGAGGGTGTAAAGAGAACTGAAGAAGAGATATAATGGAAGACTGTTAAGTCTTCAGCACTTTGGCAGCAGGCTCCTCCTCAATTGTCTTTTCAATGGGTCTACTCTGGCAGGACAAATAGAAGAACAGGTGAAAGGTCACCTACTTCCTCATCCATCTTCCTTGGGGTCTGGGAGGTCAGAGTGAAGATTGATTAAGATCTTAAATGTTTGACAAAGGATCCCTGGGCAAAAATGGGCAGGGCGGGTGGGGGCCTGGGGTGTGCTGTTGTTTAAGCATAACCCTGGTCATATGCGGGAGTCCTCAAGGGGACTTGGGGACAGAACTACACTTCCTCTTGGAGTTCTTACTTCGAAGCAGGACATGCTAATGGAGAGAAAGGATGAAGGGCCGCGTCAAAAGGGCGGCAGGGTGGCAGCCGCTTTGCCCTCTGAAGCAGCCGCAAGTTCATTCTGTTTTTGAATAGCATTTTCTGAACCGGTTTGACTGAGTCTCAGCAAATCTCAGCGGGACAACAAAGAGTGTCAGCCACTCATCTGTCCTCCTCAGGAGGATGGCTGGCCGGAGTTCGCAGTGGCAGTTTGCACTAGCTTTGTGACTGGGTGCAGAGGATAAGAAACCAGCCTAGTTAGTCTAGTTACCAGTCCTCCTCAGATTGTCAGAGAAAGGAAACAAAGTCCATCCCAGACATCACACACACACGCACGCACACACACATGCACACACACGCACTGAAGAAATGTCCTAGATGTTTGACAGGGTTGTTTCCATTACCTCGGAAATAATAAGTAGAAGGAAGAGAGGGAAAATTCTTTATGAACTTATTTTTTTGTTTAATTAAAAAGCTGAAAAATGAAAGGAAAGTCACAGATTTACTCTTCGTGAAATATTAATAAGCAATATTTTCAGAGAGACTATAGAAATATAAAACTAATAACAAGAAAACAGTCTTATAGAGTCACTCTTAAGGCCTAGTAAATAATCACGACTGTGACAAAAATGTAACCAGGCAGACACAGGCCTTGCTGAAATATACAATTTTGCTATAGATTCTTTGGGGTCATATATATATGCAGGACTTCTATTATATGTCATTACACATATGATGCCTTCATATCAGCAAAAGGTATCTTATTAAAAGCTCTTCTGAGAAAAAAATAAGACAACTACTTTGATGGCTGTAAAATAGAAATATTTCAAATCTGTGCTCTAAAAAGAGAAACAGCTGCTAAAAAAAAAAAAAAGATTGCTTTGTTTTCTTAAGGACCTTAGGAGAAAGAAATGCTGGAAAGGAAGCATTTAAAATATAGTTCAGAGAGATGCTGTTTCATATCCTTTCCAGTTTTGAAATTTTCTTCTACCTTTGAATCATGTCTTTAAGATTCAATTGCTTGAAACACATACCTGCTTTTATCTCTGGCTTTGAAGCGTGGCTGTGATCATTGAAAGATGCAGTTCTTCATATATGAGAAGAACGGGGTTTAATTATTGTCCTTTTTCTGTTATACTTTATTTCTTCTTCTTGTGTAACTGGACTTCTTTTTGAGTGTGAATAATGCAATGGTCTCTATTTTGGGTTCACCAAAGCATCACATAGGAATTATCTCAGTGAGGGATTTTCAAATATAGTACTTAAGATTTGATGACTTATTCTAGTCTAAATGAGCTTCCTTGTACCTTTTTAAAAAATGAACTAAGATATAATTATTCTTTTAAGATACCAGTCTTTAGGAAAAGGATTGATTTAATGGTTTCTCAGTCGCTATTGTGCAAAGCAAAGGTGGTCATGATATAAATTTGAATTTCATATCATTAAAATTTACTACTTAAGTGATTTTTTTTTGCACTTAATTGATGAATTTAACATTATCAAAGAACTTCATGCTTAACTCTAATTTTTTTATGAGTTACCACTGTACAATTTGGCAGGTAACCCAAATATATCTTTATTACATGTATTAAAATATTAATAGAAATGGAATTATCCTCTTAGTTGTCCTTTTGGTTTTATAATACTCACCTACGATCATGGACATCGTTCCATGTTAGAAACAATAACTTCTTC